CGCCGGGCGTAGCCGGCCTCGGCGTGCCCGGGTCTCCTAGCTTCCTCAATGGCTCCACGGCCACCTCGCCCTTCGCCAGTGAGTGTCCCCTGCGTGCGACGGGAGGGGCTGGGACCCCGGGGGGCAGGATGGGGGCAGCTCCGTCCCCCAGCCCATCCTGGGAGGGGGGGCGTCAGCCCCAGGAGGGACGACCCTGGTGAGCCCTCGGGAGCAAGCCCGGCCCACCCTGCGTGTGACCTCTCTCTGCCGTCGGGCCCAGCCTCCCTCCTCGGCTGCACATCCCGGGGCCCTGGGGCAGTACTTCTTGCACCTTTAGCTCTCTTTGCTGATCCCAGTTGTACACATCGCCATCTCGCCCTCCCGAAGTCAGTTGTAACGGCGGGGGGCGCTTGGGGGGAGCGGGTACCTTTTGGCTGAAACCTAGTGGACTGCCACCTTTCCATCTTATGCTGGGACTTCGGGAGGGGTGTAGCGCCCCCTGCTGGAAGCCTAGGGAAACTCGGGTCTCGAGGGAAGCGGGCTTCCAGCTCGGCCCCACCCGTCCAGGTGAGGCCCGCCGGGTGTGGGAGGATGTGACTCCCTGTGACGTCATCCCACAGAGCGAGCGAATTCTGTATGGTCAGATTGAGCTGGACCCAGAGTCTGAGTGTTCAAGTCAGGAGTGGTCCGACATTCTGCAAGTTACTTTACGTCTTTAAATGTACCCTTCCGCTCAGTAAAATGGGGTCAGTTCTGTGCCACGGCCCCTAAAGGGCCAGGCAAAATTCGGGGAAAGTGTATGATTTAGCAGTCCCAGCCGTGACCGTAGGTGCTAGCCACCCTCCATCTGGCTTTTTGGAGAAGCTCAGAGCTGGGGGGATGGGTGCCTGGGTGCCATGGGTGAGTGACATTTGAACTGCTCTTATGATTTATCATTTTGCACTGCCCTGAAGCCCTCTCCAACATCAAGTTCAAGTCTTCATGTTTACAGCTCCTTTTAGCTTAGTATCCAGCAGACATTTGAAAAGCACCTACTGTGTGCTGGGGCTTGGGGGATAACTCCACCCCTGCTTACCTGGGAGACTCTACTGAGATGGAGAATGGTGAAGGTTGTCCCAGCAGGAAGTGGCTGTGGTTCTGCCTGCAGTTCCCTCACCTCTCCCTGTCCTGTGTTTCCCATTGCCGAGGACTGAACTACCTGGCTAGCTGCCTGCTTTCCTTGCCAGGGCATCTGTCCTGGATGCTGCTCTTTCTGACCACAGGCTTGCGCCTGGCACTATGCTCTTGGCCTGGCTCAACTTCTGACACCCAAGGCCCCACAAGCCAGAGTCTGCATGGGCCATGGCCCTCTAGTATTCCTTCCAAGGCCTCTCTCTCTCCCGGGTCTTTGCTCAGGCCAGGCTCTACTGCTCCTGCTTTCCCTTCAGTTCTGGAACAGTACCCTCACAACTTCCCTCTGGATGCCTCTTGGATTAGAAGCATTCCTCCTGAGCCAACATTCGTGGAGTCTGGAACACCAGCCCTGTCCCATACACACAGTGCAGTCAACTGAAGAGAAACACACCCAAGTGTGCAAAAGCCAGCCCACCTGGGGTCTCCCCTATTCAGCAAAAAGATCAAAAGTTCTAAAGTTGCTGAAACTCTACTTTTAGCATTAGCTGAGGAAATCCTAGACTTGCCAGTAGGTCGGTCCTGTCTCATGATACCATCTTGATCAGTGCTTAACCAGGATCCCATCCACTCCCCATGGGTGGGGTGCTTTATAGCACAGCTCCAAGGGATGTCATTCTCATTGAGTTTGCCATTCCTGGAATGACAGAACTATCCCAACCAGAACTATCCCAACCAGAGGTCTGGGGCTGTCTGGATCTCCCCTTGGTTTTCTGCTTTGGCCACCAGCAGCCCTGGAAAGACCCACAGCTCCAGTGCTATCCAAAGTGTGGGATGTAAATGTGAGCCCTGGGCCTTGAGAGGCAGTGCATTTTTTGACATTGGTCTCAAACCCTCCTTGGGGCTCTGTGGGCCTCACCAGCTAGCAGTGAGCATTGTCTTAAAGGATTGAGGCTGAGGACACTTGAAAGAGGGGCAGCTGTTGAAGGCATCACTGTGTCAAATGGTGGGTGCGCCCTAATGCCAGAGGCAGCCCTCCAAGGCTGTTTCTTTCTTCCAGGAAGCCCCACCCTCACCTCCGCTGCCTGCTGCTTAGACAGCACTCAAATCTCAGCCTTACTGGTCTTTACAAGAGAGGCAGGGAATTGGGTTCAGATGAGGATGTAGAAAGGTGGGATCCAGAGATAATGCCCTGGGCATGAACCCCAGGCAAAAAGGAAGAAAGGCGGGCAAAGCCTGTGGCAGGAGGCTCCCTTGCTGTTCCCTGGATGGCTGGGCAGTTGGAGAACAGGGAGATTTGAGGAATGACCAGCTGGAAGAGATACAGGAAGTCCCCAGGGCCCAGGCTGGAGATGACAAGGACCTGCCAGAAGGAAGCATCCTGGGGTGGGGGTGAAGGGTGCAAGAGGGCAGACGGAGCATAGGGATGTCAATAAGGAGAACGTATTCGTGGCGGCAGGTGGAGGTGTGCGTTTGTGAGCTGTGATCCTGGACAGAGAGGCCTTATGACAATCCTATATGTACCCCCAAACTTTATCCCTGACTACTTGCCCCAACTCTTCTGTGACCCCTGAACTTTGGCTCTGGCCTTGGCACCTCAGGGCCCATAGACATTTTTTCAGCACGTCAGAATCCCAGGGGTTTTCAGCAGGAATCCTAACCTGTTCCAACTCTTGCTCACCTTAGGGGCACCTCCCGCTATTTGGTTTTGCTTTTGTCTTTGTCTGGTCTGGCCCTGTCATCTCCAGCCCTGAGAAAGGGTTTCAAGAAGGACAGGGCTGGCCCAAGGCCCCAGAGGCTCCCAGCCGACCTCCAGACCCTGCCCTGGACTAGTCTCTCCCCAGCAACTTCACAGCTCCCAGGAAGGTCTGAATCTGGTGCCAGGATCAGCAGCCCATGTGGGGCCCACGTGGAGCTGCTCACTCTGGTGCTGTCTCCCTGTTGTGTCTCCCCCTGCCTTCCCTGCTGCACCTGCCCCTCCCCGCCCCGCCCCGGAGTCATGCCCTCTAGCCCCCCGCTGGCGGCTGCTTCCTCCATGTCCCTCCCGGCGGCTGCCCCCACCACCAGCGTCTTCTCCTTCTCGCCTGTCAACATGATCTCCGCCGTCAAACAGAGGAGCGCCTTCGCCCCTGTGCTGCGCCCACCCAGCTCTCCACCCCAGGCCTGCCCCAGAGCCCATGGAGAGGGGCTTCCAGGTGAGTGACCCGTGCTGCCTTGCTGTGGCCTGAGGCAAGAACCCCGGTGGAGCGGCTGGGCTTGAGGGTCCCGCTCCATCCACATCTCACCGGCATCTCATGCTGGTTGACCAGTTCTTCCTGGAGGGCAAGGCGCAGGAAGCTAGACCTCCCAGCCTGGGGTGGCCGTCACTCTGGATACTCTCAGTTGACCACTTGGCTGAGGGGAAGGGACTCATATCTCAGTGGAGGAAGGTCTGGAAACTACACCAACATCCCACCCCATCTAGCTGGGCCCAGAGCAAAGACCCAGCCCTTGGAGGAGAACCCCACATGGGCTGCACATCTGTACCTTCCTGTGTCCACCAGAGGGTAGCACACACCGCTGTGAGAGACTGGGCTGTTCACTGGATGAAAGGTGACTGACCTTAGACAAGACTGAGCCCAGCTTCCCCTCCCCCGTTTTACAGATCAGGAGTTGAGACCAAGTCATCGCTCCCACACCCTACTCATGAAATGGGTACTCTTTCATCTTACACACATGCCGCAGGACTTTGGGGGCAGCAGAACTTTCCCCATCTGAGTGGTCGTTGGAAACTCACCAGCAGACAGAGGGAGGGATGGGTTTTGGAGAAGGAGGAAGCAACAGGAGGGGTCCCAGTTCACAGGGGCGGTTGGGGGCAGAACTGAATAAGGGTGTCTGCCCCAAGAGGCTTGTAGGCATGTGTCTGGCTAGGGGCTTGTCTCTGCAGGATGCCCCTAGGACTCAATCTAAAGTTTAGCACTTAGCTCTGTGCCTGGCACACATTAGGTGTGGTCAAATTATTGAATTAATAAATGAGTCAGAAGGGTGCCCTTCAAACCCAGCGGCAGAGGCCTGCAGTGCAGTTTTTGGGGCACTGAGCTGAAAGAGGCTGGGTTGGAGCCAGATTGGAGCATGTCCTCTTGGGTACTGTCAAGACAGTAATGGGAAGCCATTAGAAAAGAATCAAATTAGGTAAGTGGCTACTGAAGAATTTGTCAGAGCCTTTAATGCACTATGGTGCATTATGAATCTTCTACAAAGAAGATGCAAATCCATTTGAGTATTTGAAAAAATATGTTTTTCCACGAGCATCCTGAGATTTGTTTCTAAGGAATGCCCTTGAGGTGGGGGAAGAGACAGCTCATGGTTTCCTCCACCTGATGTGGGGGCTGGTAAGACTAGGGTACCTGTCACAAGAGCAGGGCCACTGGCTTGGGTCCCAGAGTCACCTCCAGATCCAAGGCAGGAGCAGGTGGAACAGCCTCCCTACTGAAGCAGGGGAGGGGCTGTGGGCAGTGCCCCACAGGGCCTCTGTGCTCCAGGGCCTGTATGAGAGAGTCCAAGGATGCTGGAAGGGGAGCGGGGAAGCATGGGGCTGGGAGGATGAGTGTGCATGGCAGCCAGGGAACGTGCTTGGTCACCCAGGAGAATTGGTTGTTCTGTGGGTAGACAGCACAATCAGTGGCAATCCAGAAACTTTTGAGCACTGTGTTTATGCCCTGCTCTGTGGATAGAATGGGTCCCCTTCCAGGAAGGCTCCTTGAACACCACAGACAGACCTATGATGGTGATTCAAGTAATAGGAGGCTTTTGTGCCAGGGAGGGAGGGAGGGCAAGGGGGTTGGTTCGTGAACCATCCAGAGGGTGGGCCACCATCAGAGAAGGCCTTGCCTAAGCAGGGTTTGAAGAAGGAGGTAGAGTTTTCCAGTGGGGGAGGAATGCCCCGATAGAGGAGACCCCCAGGATGAATGTGCGTGGGTGGGGCAGGTAGGGATGTTGGAGCTCTCATTCAAAACGTTCAAAACACAACTCATACAAATGGATGTCAAAGGTCTATTTAACTCATTGCTGAAGGAGCTAACAGGATGACGAAGCAGCTTAAAGGAGAACGTGAGAGACTGAATCCAGTGAAATGACTGAAATAAGATGACTGAAATAAGATTGTTCAAAGGAAGCTGTTTCTACAGAGCAATAAACTAGTAGCCTTCCCTTGGGGATTATCTCTTCTACCAATTAGAAGTCATCTGCCATTTACCAGTCTCCTCCAAAGTTAGCATCCAACATAACAAAGCCTGGGCCCTCACAGTCGTGTATGGCAAGTCTAGAAATGTCACATGTGCCACAATCAGATGACTTTTACGGTGGAATTATTAGATCATGTTCTAGGATAACTTCGGAAGGTTACACTGTCATTTTTGGCCTTAATTCCAAGTTTTGGATAATTTTCCTTATGTATGTCTGGAGCATAGAATGTGAGGGATAGGGAAGACAGAGAGCCATCAATTTCTCCTCCAGCAAAGAGAACCATAGCAGGGACCAGGCAGAAGCAGGGAGCAGAGAAGTAATGAATTTCATAGATATGGGGGGCAGACTGGATGCTGCTGCATCTATGAATCAGTGCCCTCTTTCCCGTCCTGGTATTAGCCATCTACCTGAGGAAGCAGACAGGCCTGTGAAAGAGGCAGCCCTGGGAAGAGGAGCCCAAGTCATCTTTCAAGGAAGCGAGAGGAGCAAGGGCTGGGGTGCACCTCCTAAGTGGTCTGAGGGGCACCCCTTACCCCTCATCTGCAGTGCTGCCCCCAGGCCAGGGCCAGGGGTGTCTGACTACCTTCAGAAAGTGCTACATGCCCTGCTTGCTGTCTCCAGCCCAGAGAGAGACAGGCAAGTAAAGTCCCCAGGTGGCACGTGGCTTATGGATCCTTTCTCCTTGACTACCACAGACCAGCCTTTTGAGGATTCTGACAAGTTCCACTCTCCAGCCCGGGGGCTTCAGGGTCTGGCGTATTCCTAATTATGGTAAGTCTCTGACTGGGTCTGGCCTTCACCCCTGACCCCGAGATGGGCTCTCTCTCCAAAAGGCCTTAGCAGGGATGAGGGCTGGTGTTCACTTCTCCCTCCCCAGAGCCCGTCTCGACAGCTATTGGAGGCATATAGCCCACCCAGCTGTCCAGTTGGAGAGAAGGGCCTTCCTGTCCTCTTGTAGCCAGTCTCCCTCCAGAAACAATTCTCTCCCCACCAGGTCTGGAGGTGTTGCCCCCACTGAGCCCGGACTGGAGGTCCCTCCAGGATTCGCACCCACACCCTGGATGGTGGCACAGATAGAGACAGGGCCAGGACCAGGGCAGACCTCACCCCACAGGCTGATTGGAGAAAGGCCTTCCCCATGCTCAAGCCTCCCCCACCAGGCCCAGAGGCCTCTCTCACCCACCTTTCCTGGGGCTGGTGGGAAGCCCCAGCACTGTGCAGATGCTCTTGGCAAGGAACGTCCCAGGGCGGTGCTGGAATGCCGGGCCTCACTCTCTGGGTCTTCGTTCCTCTGGAAGAGATGGATCTTGTGCAGACCAGGGATGTCTAGTGAGGGGAGCATGGGATGGGGACCAGGGGAAAGAGGACAGCTCAGGGAGAAGTGACCTGGAAAGGTCCTGTTTGCATCTGACCCATCTCAACTGGCCCACGCATCCCAACTTCTCTCCAGCAAAGGGGCAAGGCCCAGAAGCCTCAGGAGGTCCCCAGGCTCCCATGGAGCTTCCAGCAGCCGCTTGACCCCGTGGCTGTCCCTACTTCCTTTGAGACCTGCACACTCATGTTTGCCACATCATGCCTCCCTGAGGGGGTCTTGGGTATGGAGAAGGCAGAAGAGGGGTGCCAGGCCTCCTGAGTCTGGGGTCTTCCCTCCAATGGATGTCTCATGGACGCTGGCCCCATGGAACGGGCCCGACTGCCCCCGGGCGGTCTCATGCTCTGCTCTGCTAAGTTTGGAGAAAACAGAACAATAAACCTGATGCAGGTGGCCACCTGGCCTCTCCTGCCTGCTTCCTTGCTGTGGTTTTGCTTTTGTCAGTGGTTCAGCAGCTCTTGGGGCACCTCCAAACTATGCTCCGGGCAACTTCCATACACTTTGGGCTTTCTAAACAGCTCCAGAGTTCAACGAAGCAAGTATCCCCTACCCATGTCTGCTCTTGGGGGCTATAGGGAGTTGGCAAGGAGCAGATTAGGAGGCCTGAGGACCTGGAGACAGGTTCAGCCCCAAGAGTTCTTGCTGGTATCACAATTGGGCCACTGAAGACTCAGTCCCTCAGCTGTCAGGACCAAAGTGGCAATTGTCAGGACATTGCTGGGAACCAGGATAGAGTAAACCAAGATGTACAGAGGCTCAGAAGTGAGATCTCATCTGGAACAGAGGCCTCAGAGCCTTGCGTGGGCTAGGTGGGATAGCTTGTGGCTACTGAAGCTGTTTATCTGAGCCATACCCCAAGCCCATCCCTCCAGACCAGGCCTAGGCAACTTCTGCCTCAGAGTTTGAGAGAAGGAGGGTAAGTAAACAAGATTTCTAAGTCCATTCGCTCAGCTACCCACCCTGCTAGGATAAATCCCAGTTGTCCCTGTGAGATGTGTCCCCTGGACAAAGGTTTGTCTGACTGTGAAAGCCACTTTTTTGAGCCACAGTCCAGTGAGCTCAGTGTCCAGCACCAGGCCTCAGACTTTCTCTTTCTCCTCCTGGCAGTTCCCCTGGGCTCTGGCCTCTGGACATCCTGCCTCTCCCAACCCATGCTCTGAAGCCTTCTGGACAAGCACACTTGCCAAGGCACATGGGCTGCTTCTGTCTTTCAGAGGCCCCACTGTTTTCTCTGTGCTCTTGGCACAGACCTGTGATTCATCTCACCTGGGCAGGGGGTCATCCTGCCTCTGGTCATCCTGCCCTGATCTCAGTGCTTGCCTGGCTTCCCCCTCAGTTCCTGTTTGCAGCCTGTGTTGCAGAGCAACAAAGGCTGCCGGCCCAAGCCCTGCTCCATTCAGCTTCAAGCAGTGCCCACTCCGAGGCTGAGCACCTGCAAAACTCTAATCTGCACTGGACACAGGTGGTAATAGGGCAGTGGTCACGGTCTGTTTCCCGGGGTGGGTCAGGTGCCATGGTAGGTATAAATGAGACACGGTATTTGTCCCCAAAGATCCCACAGCACTGCACAAGCCACAGTTTGAGTCAACATTGTCATCCCCCTCCTCCACAGCAGACACTGCTGATCAATTATGATGTTTGCTACAACCTGAATTGTGTCTCCCCAGAATTCCTATATTGAAGTCTTAACTTCCCATGTGACTGCCTTGGAGATAGGGCCTTTAAGTACATGATTAAAGTTGAATGAGGTCATTAGGGTGGAGTCCTGATTCAATAGAACTAGTGACCTTATAAGAGTAAGAGACACCAGAGCTCTCTCTCCACCATGTAAGCACACAGCAAGAAGGCAGCCATCTACGAGCCAGGAAGAGAGCCCTCTCCAGAAATCAAATCAACTGGCACCTTGATCTGGGCTTCTAGCCTCTAGGATTGTGAGAAAATAAATGTCAGTGGTTTAAGCTACCCAGTCTAGGGTATTTTATTATAGCAGACCAAGCTAATACTGTATTGTTTTCCACATGTCTTAGTTTTGGTTTCCCTAGAAGCAGAACCTGTGATAAGTTCCTTGCTGGAGAACTATGGGAGACAGTGTAGAACACACCTCAGAGCTTGTCCACCCAAGAGATAAAGAATATGGGATATTGATCCTCTAGCCCTCATCTATCATTGGCCAAGGGCTATTTCCAGGAGATTGACCCTCTGGCACTTCTGACCTGGCCCTCCCACCTACACAGAGGAAAAAAACACCACTTAGGTTTTTGTTGTAGAATATTCTGAGCAAATACTAGGGGAGTAAATGCAAGGCGATACGGGCAAGGTACCAACAGGCTCTGATGCCACAGAACCGCCATGATCATAGAATCATTTTCAATACAGCCACTGATCAGAGTTGTCACTTGAGATGAAAACTATTAGCCAAATCTGGTAAGTATCACAACAGGCCATTTTGTAGCCAATAAACCAGTGAGAAGTGGGTCCAACTGGACTATGGGTTATGGGTCAATACAAAACCAGCCCACCAGCACTCGTGGGCCTGTGTCTAGGTCTGTAGCAACTCCCACAATGCATCTGGGGCATTTCTGGACCTTGTAGAACACCTCTGTGGACTTCCCATATTCTTTAGTCAAAAGAAATTCCATTCTCAAAGGCTCCAGTAATCCTGAGTCTAAAGTTGACATTTAGACAAATGGCAGAAGCTTGGTCTTGATCTTACATAAATCTGTAGTGGAGACTCACTGCCCAGGAAATGCTATCAGATAATCAGGTCTTAGTTTAGTTACAGTCCTGAGGCCTGGTACACAAGACAGAATTGATTGGCTCGTTGACATCAACCCCTACAGAGGCTGGACATCTCAGATCAGTGATAGAAATCCTAACCTTGGTTTCAATGAATATCACTCAGGGTGGCATTATTCACCTGGAAAGGAGGCTTAGTTTGGGTTTTCCCGGGAGCAGTCCTTGAGACAGGAGTTGAGTTCAGATGGTCTATTTGGGAGGCAATCCCCTGAAGCACCACCACTCGGGGGCATGGAAGGGAAGCAGCAGAGAGAAGGAAGCCCCATGCAGAGTGCAATTGAGCAATTTACTACTGTAGGTTTTCTGGGGCTTAATCATAGCCAGGAATGCTAGGAGACTATAAAATACATGCCTCAGAGATTCCTCATCTGAGTAGTGAGGGAGCTAGCGTATTTATACACCAGCTCCTATCTGTCATTTGCTGAGGGCTTCTGGGTGGAGAAGGCAGCACTAGCTTCCTGACCTCCAGCCTGCTCCACAGGTGGTAAAACAGTCCCAGTAGCTAGAGAAAGCACTCAGGCAGAGATCAGGTGCTGGCAAATGGAATCAGACAGATATACATGGAAGACGTAAAGATGAGGGGATGTGGGTGGGCATCAGAGTTTCTGCCCTGGAGGTGGTCCCCGGCAGTCAACGAGGAGGAAGGTAGATCCTGGTAGTCATCCAAAGAAAGGTGATTTTTCTTACTTTAAGTAAATTTGGAGTGGGCATGGATTTTCCTTTATCTACAGTTGCAGCTCTTAGCTCTTCTGGGACCAGGTAACAGAAACTGCCCAGGCTATTTCTAGTGGAAGTACCAAGATGCCAGGTGACAAAAGGCATCAGCCCACCCCCTGGCTGTTTTATCACATGGCTAATAAGGGTGGGGGCAGGCTGGGCATCAGACACTGGCCACTCACCCTTCAGAGAGAGAAAGCATCTGCAGGAAATCCTCTGCTTTTCCCTTGCAAATGCTTCCCGGCAAACCAAGCTGCTGTGTTCTGCATCTGACCCTGGGCTAGGACAGTTTCTGAGGCTACATTTGGCTCAGGCAGTACCCACAAGGGAAGCCAGGCAGCAGCTTTAACCAGCCCTCCTGCTGACTTTTCTGCAAAATATCCTTCTTGGCCTGGCTCAGTGGCTCAGTCTGTAATCCCAGCACTTTGGGAGGCCAAGGCGAGTGGATTGCCTGAGCCCGCAGTTTCGAGACCAGCCTGGGCAACTTGGCAAGACCTCATCTCTACAATAAAATCAGAAGTTAGCCAGGTGTGGTAGCACACGCCTGTAGTTCCAGCTACTTGGAAGGCTGAGGCGGAAGGATCGCTGGAACCCGGCAGGTCAACACTGGGGTGGCCGTGAGTGTGCCACTGCACTTTAGCCTGGATGACAGAGATGGCAACTCAAAAATAAAAATAAAAATAAAATCCTTCTTCTCCCTCCTCATATTGATAGAGCCCCTAATTTCTTCCAAAAAGACAAACTTGGGGAAACGATGGTTTAAATAAAAAATAGTGTTGGATCCTGGCACAGTGGGGCATGCATGTAATCCCAGCTACTCAGGAGACTGAAGTGGGAGACTCATTTGAACCCAGAAGTTCAAGTCCAGCCTGGGCAACATAGTGAGACTCTATCTATTAAAAAAAGAAAACAGTGTTGGATCAATTGGCTATGTGAAAAAATTAAACCTGACCTCTACTTCACACCATACACAAAAATCATTTCCAGGTGGCTGTGGTTAAACTGTGAAATCTAAAACAAAGCTTTATACCCATGAAGATAGATTAGAAGCCCTTTGCCAAAGTCTATCCAAGGTCTATTTCTCCACCCACATGGCCAAATTTGGAGTGAGGCAAGCACTGGACATATTTGAGGTGGTTCAAATGAACCCCAAAGTTACTTTTCCCTTCTTTAGGATAACTTTTCCAAATAAGAAGAACTTCATGGTTTACAGTGTCTTTCTCTCCAAGAAGAGACCAACTCTTCACAGTTACTGATTCTCTGAAGCTCTTAACTGCTCAGCCTGCAGGGCCACCTTCCCCTGTCCCATCCGCACCTTTGCTCTTTTAGTCTCAAGCCTCCTTCCTCTGCTATCACTTTACAGGCAGTGATGATACCCACTGGATGATGGAAGGGAATGAGCCTAGAAGCCTGATGTTCACAGGAAGACCCTCCACATGAGGCGCCTGATGGCTGTGAGGCACTGGCCACAAATGTGGACCCCGGAATTCCTTATCCTTCTTCCACACTCCCCGTCTCTTCACTCTCTTTTTTGAGTTGGGGTCTCACTCTGTCACCCAGGTTGGAATGCAGTGACGCAATCAGGATTCACCACAGCCTCAACCTCCTGGGCTCAGGCAATCCTTCCACCTCAAGCCTCCCAAGTAGCTGGGACCACACGCATATGCCACCACACCTGGTTAGTTTTTTTATTTTTTTGTAGAGACGAGGTCTCACTACATTGCCCAGTCTGGTCTCAAATTCCAGGGCTCAAATTATCCTCCAGTCTTGGCCTCCTAAAGTGCTGAGATTACAGGTGTGAGTCACCAAACCTGGCCTAGATTCTTGCTTAATAGCCTTGTATCTAGTAAACTTGCTTATCTCACTTACCCATAGATTATCTTGACTGTTCTAAGGTATGTAACTATGTCATATG